TGAATATTAAATGCTAAATTATTTAAAGCCAAATTCGTTCAAACTAGGCAGAGTTGATGGAGATTTGTAAGCATATATTCGGTGAAAACAACAAGCAAATATATGTGTTGAATCTTATTTTGTATGTGAATTCAGGCCTCAAGATAGAGAATTTAAGCATTTAGCATTGATTATTAGTGCTAGATTTTAAGATAAAGAGTTATAAAATAAAGAGTACTAGAATCATTGTCATAGAATTAGATTGAGGCACCTAAAAGACGCTAATAAAATTATTTTTATGAGTAAACTTCATGATTTCAATATTTTGGATGTTTATGAAAAAGCAAATTCTACGTGGCATAAAATTACAAACACAATAAAACAAGTGACAAAATATGTACTTGGAGAATCAAAAAGAAAAATTCCTATAGACAAAAGAAAAATTCCTATAAACAAAAATAATTAATGATGGAATAATAATGTGCAAGAAAAGATATAATATAAGAAGTTATGTTATAAAAATTGGTCTAACTATAAAAGCATAAGAGAACTGAGAAAAATATAAAATGACCCGTAGGGAGTCTAAAAGAACAATTTGTGGAGCTAAAAATTTTGTTTTTAGCATTTTTATGATATATTAGATACTAAAGATGGTGAAAAATATATGTGCAAAACTAGCCAAACAAAGAGAAAAGAAAAGTAAAGATATAACTCAAGTAAAGTGTATTAAAGATGAAAATCAAAAAGTATTTTTCTTAAAAAAAATAATCAACACAGGTGGGTGAGCTATTTTGTTAAACTTTTCAATAAAATTTCTAAAAATAAGATCAACCTTGATGATCTTAATATATTGATTTTTACCGTCGCATAAGTAGAAAAGAAGTTGAAGAGAATTTAATGAAAACCAAGGGTGGAAAGTCTGTAGGACCTGATGATATCTCAATTGAAGTGTGTAAGTGAGCTCTTTAATATTATTTTAAAAACTAAAAGGATGCCTGATGAGTGGAAGAAGATTATTTTGATTCTCATTTTTAGGAAGTGTGCAGACTATAGAGGAATTAAATTGATGTGTCGTACTTTAAAATTATGGAAGAGGGAAATTAAACAAATGTTAAGACGTATTACAAAGATTTCTCACAATCATTTTGGATTTATATTGGGGATGTCTACTATGGAAGCTATACATTTATTGAGAGGTTTGATGGAGAAGTACAGAGAGAATAATGAGGATCTACATATGAACATATGATTTTTAGATAAAGCTTACGATAAGGTTCCAAGAGATATCCTTTGGAGAGTTCAGAGATATCCTTTGAGATATCCTTTGGAGAGTTCTAGAAAAGAAAGGTGTTGATATGACTTATATTCAAGTCATTAAAGTTATGTATACTAGTGATGTTACTTGTGGTCGAACAGAAGGACCACTGAACAAATATTTTCCTATTTCAATTGGATTACATTAATGATCAGCTTTAAGTCCATATCTTTTTGCTTTAGTTATAGATGCTCTTACTGGACATTTACAGAAGAATGTACCTTGATGTATGCTTTTCGTTGATGATATCCTTCTTGTTGATAAGATTAGAGAAAGAGCTCAGAAAAAACATGAATTATGGAGGTCTACTTTGGAGTCTAAAGGCTTTCATTTGAGTAGAACTAAAACTAAATACATTGAATGTAATTTTAGTAGTAATAACTCTAGTGATAGAGTTGTAACTAGGGTGATCAAATTATTAGAAGGTATGAACGCTTTAGATATCTTGGGTCTATTGTTCAAAGTAATGGTAGTATAAATGTGGATGTTATTAGTAGAATTCACCTTGGTTGGTTGAAGTGGAGGAATGCCTCGGGCCTATTGTGTGATAGAAAAGTATCACTAAAACTGAAAGAAAAATTTTATAAGATGGTAGTGAGACCTGCAATGCTTTGTGGCGCAGAATGTTGGTCTTTAATAGAGAAGCATAAAACTAAGTTAAGTGTTGCCGAGATGAGAATGCTTAGGTGGATGAGTGGCTTTACGGTGTAGCTCCAGTGGCAGACAAAATTAAAGAGAGTCATCTTAGATGATTTGGTCACATTAAATGTCGGCAATCTGATGATCAAGTTAGGAGAGTAGATGTTTTAGATTCGAATTATGCTAAGAAATGCAGGGGTAGACCTAGAAAGTCTCGGGCTTATTGTATAAAAAATGATATTAATTTATTAGAATTAAATGAAAACATGACACTCGACAAGATACAATGGAGAAAAAGGATCAAAGTAGTGGGATAAAGGCTTGTGGTTATTGTTGTTGTTGTTGTTGTTGTTGTATTCACGCCTCGAGATTCACGCCTCAAGAGCAGAGCTAATTGGAAATGAGGAAAGACCTAGAGAAGGGAAGGTGAAGCTATGGATTGCATTATATTTTAGGGTAACCATTCAATGGCAAAAAGGGTCCTCCTTTTACATTAACTCCCCACCCCTTATATAGGGGCATTCTCCTATTAAATATACAAATGTTATGGTTACACTAAGCTTTCTTAAGTTCTTCGGCTGCTTGAATTTTGTCATTTATTTCCATGAGTATGTATTTTATATTATCTCGGGTCTCTAATCTTCTGCGGGAGCCATATTCAAGCCGATATCAGCGACCAATTTGCTGAGTCACATCTAATGTCAAGTTAGTTTTCCACATTTGGGACTCACCTTGCAGACACTCGCCTCATGGGCGAGTAAATTACAATCTCATCAGTCGTCTGATATTGTTTGATGCGGTTTGCTAATAGTTGGTTTATCATATTCGGGTATCTTTGCTCAGCGAATCGTATTTGGTCAATCACACTCGGCTGCTCGAATCTGGTTACTGGTTACTGGCTACTGGTTGTCAACCACTTGGGCTAGATTGCCTTTACTTCATTTGCTTCGATATTGTTTGATGTGGTTTGCTAATAGTTGGTTTATCATATTCGTGTATCTTTGCTCAGCGAATCATATTTGGTCAATCACACTCGGCTGCTCGAATCTGGTTACTGGTTACTGGCTACTGGTTGTCAACCACTTAGGCTAGATTGCCTTTACTTCATTTGCTTGCAGGACTGGATCACTTGGTCGGCTTAGGTCTAAAAAGGACCTTTTAGCCAATCTTTGTTCCCGTTGGCTCATTATGACCGCTTTTGGCCATACAATATGTTCAAAAAAATTAGTTTACTCTCATTATTTTATAGTTAATAATTAATTTTGCAATATTTCAGTTTAAGAGATTAAAAATGCTTATCATGACATGCCTATGAGAATGGGATGAAATCTCTCTCATTATTTTATAGTTAATATTTAATTTTGCAATATTTCAGTTTAAAAGATTAAAAATGCTTATCATGACATGCCTATGAGAATGGGATGAAATCTCTTTTGTTATGATGTTATTGGATTAGTGCACCTCTAGTTTGCTTCGGTTTGAGTACGAGCTATTTTTTATATTATAATCTCATGGATAAGTTGTTATTGAAGCTAACTGATTTTGCTTCTAGTAACAAAAGACTGAATTTTTTAAAACTTCTTGATAGTTCTTGATAGTTCTTGATAGTTCTTGATAGAACAATTTGTAAATAGAATAATCTTTAGGCATGTAGGGAAGAAGAAAAAACCTTTAGCTTAATAAACTTTCCTCTTTTATTCAATCTTGTGTGCTTGATTGCACTTTGTTCTTTTGATTATGGTGCAACCAATATCTGAGATAATTCATCTTTTTGCATCTATTGAAAGCCTAAAAGTTCTATATTTAGTGATTTTTCTTCTCGTTCTCTTTTCTTCAGGTGTTTGGGAGCACGTTTGAATTTAGTTAAATCTGTTACAATTGGGTTACTTTCTTACATTGTAAATTTTAATTGACAAGTCATTTTTGGCGGTTTTAAATGCTTAATGGATTTCTTTGATTTTGGTTATCAGTTAAATTACATTCTGACATGAGTTTCTAGAACTTTCATGTTTAAATCAAAAAATAATGATAATTGGTGGCCTTCGTAACTACAAATTTCTAAACTGATTTAAGCATATATTACATCATTTAGTTGTTCTAAGAACCCTAAACACTAAGACTTTCTACAACAGCTTAAGAACCCCAGACAAGAAGACGTTCTGCAACAACCAATTCCCAAACCTTTATGGGTCAGCCCAAACGCATTTCAATTCATGTTCCAAATTTTAGTAATTTATCTAAACATGTTTTCTAAAATCCAAAAATAAAAGTGAAAACATAATTTTTTGAAAGCAATATTTAAATTTTAATGATATTAATAAAGCAAAAGGGAAAAATATCAAGAGAAATTTGTCAAAATGATCCCCTGATTCTCTGTAAGGATTTATTTTAATCCCATAATCAATAAAAGGATCATTTTAGTCCCCAAACTTTTTAAATTATGCTAACATAGTCCTCCCTATGGTAAAAATAGTCTCCAAGGAGGACTATTTTAGCCCATGTTAAGGGGGTGTTTGGTAGTATTGTTTTAATATGATTTAGACATGAATTTAAGGTAGATCTAGCTATAAAAAAAAAATTTAATTCAACGCTCCGTTAAATCAAAATTTCTTGTGTTCCGTCTCCGTTTCTCCCGTTTCATCTCTCTTATGACGTAAATTTAAATTTACTAAATCCAATTGCAAGGCAGATTTAAAAGATTTACTCCATCATAGTTCGCGAGCTCCATCGCCATCGCACTGGATTTGAAAAATCCGGATTTATTAGATTAGATAAATCCTACTTAACATAAAACCATGTTGCAGCCAACTACATCTTAAAAAACCTAGTAACTTATTTGACACTTTTACATCGGTATTAAAATGACCCTTAAAGTAAATAGTCAGGCCTAGTAACTTATTTGACACTTTTACATACTTCGGTATTAAAATGACCCTTAAAGTAAATAGTCAGGACACTATTTTGATACTTTACTCAAAATATCAAACTTGTTGAATCAACAAATAAAACTTGAATTATAATACATTTTGAAAGATAGATAAAACCCAAAAAGATCGAAGAAACCAACCTTAAGACGGTGAAATACAGCAAAGCCAAAGCCACGCCAGGAAGCACCACATCTTGATTAAAATAAACAATCCAGGCATCAAAGCAAAGCGTCTTTGACAAACATTCAGCCATTTTCCTTCTCCAACTACTTGATTCCACCATTGAAGATTCTATGGAAAAGCTTGAAACTTCTTCTACGTGTCTTCTTTCTCTGCTTTCACTCAGAGCAGGAAAGCCATGGTATACTGTAATCCAAAGCCAATACTCTAACCATACTGATAACACATTCCACAGTGCTAGAGTTACGGCTGATGCCACCAATGACACGAAGCTGATGATGAAACCTGTCAAAACTGGGGCGAAAAGTTTGCAGATTAAATCAATCCTTCTGACGGTAGAGTTCATTTCTGCAAGCTCCTCAGGAGGCCGCCCGTGGGAAATTACAACCACCCTGAAATCCCACGGAAAGAAATGAAGTTTTGTAATATTGTTCGACCAAATAATATCAGTAATTTGTACAAGAGAATATTGGTGTTGAATTACAATCTGCTTCGCATGAAAAACGAAGAAATAATCCTAAAATGTTCCATATAACAACCTTTGCAACAAATAAAATCAAGGGAAATTTACATAAGTAGCACTCAATTTTTATGTATTTACATATCTCACAACTATATTTTCATATTTACATGCATGGCGCTTAGTGTTTTACCATGCATGAAAAGATATTTTACTTTTAAAAAAATGGTAATATTGCTAATTTTGATGTGGCATTAAAGATTTGAGTGTTATGTGTGTAAATATGAAAGTTTTGGAGTGAAAAAAAGTAAATACATAAGAATTGTGTCATGTATCTAAATGCCCACCAGCAGGAGAAAGAATTTAAAATATGCAAATTGTACTTTCAAAAGCTAGTCATACTGAAGGAGAATGTAACCGGAAAATTCTCTTATTTCTTAATCTTCATATTACAACTCTCATTATATAGATAGTAAACTCTAGAGCAAGTATAAGTTCTACAATTATAACTTACCATAGATACAACAAACAAATAAGGACAAAACTAGAAACATAATAATAGAGAAATAAATGAGGATAAATCTAAAAAGGAAACACAAAATTTCACACTCCCCCGCGATTTCGTGAAGACACTGTGAATAACAACTCCATTGAAATTTTTAGAGATAAAATGTCTATCAATCTTAAAGTGATTGATCTTGTCATGATATAAAGGATTCTTCAGTACTGATGGTGGCTTGGCTATCGCTGAACAACTTTAAAGGATTAATCGTGGGACGTGGAGTATCCCAGCTCATTAATACCCTTTGAATCTACATTCCTTCACAAATTCTCAAAGTGTCAGATACTCATAATTTGCACTACTTCTAGAGACCACTGCTTGTCTCTTGCTCCTCCATGTGATAAGATTTCCCCGGGCATAAGAGTTTGTATAGGTTTGCACTAACATTCATGTTTCTTTTAATAAATATAAGATGTAATTCCTTTAGGATATCATAATATTTATCCTGGACCAGGGCATTTTCATGCTTATAAAGTATTTTATTGCTCCAAGATCTTTAATTTAAAATTTAGTAACAGGAACCATCTTTGACTTTCCAATCTGTGTCATCAACACCTATCAAGACCATACCATCAATATAGAAAATGAGTATCGCTTTCTTACCTTCTTGTGCATGCTTTATGAACGGTGTATGATTACTTGGCATTGGATGTACTCATTAGATTTCATAGTCTGCCAAGCTTATCAAACCAAGCCCTTGACGATTGTTTGAGGTCATAAACTGACTACTTTAGTTTACAAACATGATGTTTATTTAAGTTATCTCCCAGTCTTAAGGGAATTTCCATATACACTTCTTTCATGACTTTATTCAAAAATATATTCTTCATATCAAGTTGATGCAATTCTCACTATTAATTCACTGCCAATGAGAGAAGAATTCTTGATAGTTTGTCTCATATAACTGAGTGAAAACTTTGGTCACCAACCTAGCCTTGAACCTCTCAATGCTCCATTATGCTCTGTACTTAACATTGAAAACCCATTTGCATCCACTTGATCTTTTATTTGGAGGAAGTCTTGTAAGTGTCATTAGCTTAAGTGTTTGGATCTCTTCAACTACATTATTTTATTCTAGATTGTGGCGTGCTTCATGAATTAACTTGGGTATTTGCACACTATCAAGATTTGATACAGAAGCTTTGTAAGTTGATGATAACCATAGTAGCATATTTATGGATAGAATAATTTGTGCAACTTTCCCTATCTTCTTTGGTGGATTTTACTTCCCTTGGAACCTCAGAGATGGGTGAATTCAGGTTTAGTTGTGATCAATCATGTGGTTGCATATTATCTTTATCCTACTCGGTGAATTCCTATCCCCTAGTATATACACGGGGATCTTTATTTTTAATCTCCGATTGGATGTTCTCAACAGAAGGAACTTGGGAAGCTAGATGGTTAGATGGAAGGAGAACAGATTGCGATGACTCTAGATCAGTGTATGTATCTATACTAGTGTAAGGAAGCAGAATATGTTTTAATGACTCTAGGTCAGTGTGGGTGTCTAAAGTGGAGTCATAAGTTTGATATTCACCATGACTCTTCCCCCGAATATTAGGTTTGTAATAATAGAGTTGGTTTTTAGAGAATGTAGCATCCATGAAGCTATAGTATTTTTTTGTAATGGAAGAATAACACTTGCACCTTTTTGTTAGAAGCATACCCTAGGAAAATACATTTGAGGGATTGTGGGTCAAGTTTTGTGTGGTTTGGTTGGTGGATGTGAGCAAAAGAAATACAACCAAATACTTTTTAAGAAAGATTGTATGAGAAGGCTCCGACATGAGGGCGTTTTTTATCACAATATCGAGAGGAGCTTTAAATCCAAGAACCCTACTTGGCGTTCTATTAATGAGGTAGGTTGTTGTGAGCAAATCTACCCAAAAACTTTTTGGGACAATGTGAGAGAGTATTATAGACCAAAATACCTCAAAGGGATATTTATTCTTTCTCTCGGCTATCGCATTTTGTTGAGAAATTTCAGCACAATAACGTACATGGATGATGTCATTCTTTGCAAGGTAGGATCCAATCATAGAGTTGATGTATTCATTTGCATTATCAGTTTTGACAATCTGAATTTTGCATTGGAAGTTAATATAAATCATGTTATGGAATGACTAAAAAATTTATGCAGTTTCAAATTTTTACTTCATGAAAAATATCTAACTAGTTCTAGTGTTGCCATCTATAAGGAGGCAAATCATCTAACTTCATTGATGGTTTTCAATTTTAATGGTCAACAAATATCACTGTGTTGATCCAATTAGAAGAGTGTATGTTTTATATTTGACTTATGTTAAGAAAAGGCAAAGGTAGACCTATGAAGACTTGGGCATATTCTATAAAAAATGATTTTAATTTATTAGAATTAAATGAAAATATGACACTAAATAGGATGCAATGGAGAAAAAGGATTCAAGTAGCCAACCTCATTTAGTAGGACAAAGGTTTTGTTGATGTTGTTGTTATTGTTGAACAAATGTTGTGATGATACAGAATGATTGTGAAGGTTTGTACTTAAACAAATGTTAAATATGGGGGGAATGTTTAGCCCATTGACAGGTTTCACACTGATAAAACTCTGATTTTTTACTAATAAAAATGATGATAAAACTTTGCAACAAAACGAAAATTGAGACATAAAAAATGACAATGTCATAACAAAACTTGAGTCACAACAGACTTAAACACAGCAGACTCAGGAACAACGGACTCGTGAATACGGGGAGAACAAGTGTTAAGACAATAATTTTCCTTGAGCAGGCATAGACTTTGATACAATTCAGCACTGTCAATCAACTTCTCTGAATCCACCACCTGAAGTTCACAAGATGAAGTGAAATTTAGTAACGCGATTCAAGTTATAAGTAATCTTGTAGATTGAAAATAAGTTGCAATCTAATTGTGAAACATAAAACGCATAAGAGAGTTGAATATCTTTAGAAACTTTCACTTCTCCTTTTCCAACAATCCTGGAGTGAGATCCATCGGCAAGTTTAACAAATCTGGAGTGGGTGAATTTTTGGTAATTGATGTGAACATTTATATCTTCAATCATGTGATCAAAAGCATCCGAATCTATTATCCAAGCTCAAAATCTTTCATTGATAGTGAGATGGGAGGATATTATACTTTGATGCATCTTAAGCAGGTAGGCTCCTCGGTTGTGCTCTAAATAAGTTTCTTCAACACCTCTAGTTGTTCTTTAGTGAAAGGACTAAGTTCAGATGAACCTTCAGAAGATATAGCAGCATAGGTCTTGCGGTCTTGGTCTTTCCTCCCTTACCCCGGTTTCCAATCTGCAGGTTTCCATGTACTTTCCAACGCCTGTCTTGTGTGGCCAAATTTCTTACAATATTCTCACCGGTGATGATTCTTCTTTGTCTTTGATTCATTAGAAGAGTTGTGTGAGTACAAAACAGAGCATTCAATGCTAGATGAATTCAAACTTCATATCATCATGATTTTTTTCCTCCTTTCTTCTCTTCGAACTTCAACAAAGGCTTTTCTTGTGGTAAGAAGAGGCTCCGTCCCTATGATTCTTCTTCTGACCTCATCTAATTTCTTATTTAGTCCTAATGAAAACTTAATCATCATTTTCTTCTCCACTATAAGTTTTTACAAAATGGCATCTTGAAGACATATATATATATATATATATATATATATATAAGTT